GAATCACGTGCACGCGCAGCTCGGCGGCATCCCGCTCGTAGCGCAGCGCGAAGTGCACGGCGCCGCGCACCTGCACGGCACCCGCCTCCGCCTCCCCTGACAGGCTCATCTGGCTGCCGCTCAGCTGCGGGCGTGGCGGGGTCGGAGGGAGGGAAGTAAGGGTGGGTGCAGGCTCACATCGGGGCTGGGGAGGGCAGAGGGTTCAAATTGGGAGCATGCGGGGCAAAGCGAGCTGACGAGGTAAAGGGCACTGCGAGGTAGCTTGGCTAGGGGCTGGAGTGTCAAGTTCAGGGGCGAGGGTGGGGTCAGGCAGGGGCTACGCGTCAGGATATGAGGAGGAGAGGCGGCCCGCAGCCTGTGCACTTTCCTCTCCCTCACCGTGGAGTTGAGGCTGGATACGGAGGAGCTGCTGCTGAGCATGCGGTCGAGTGAGGGGCCGGGCCCCGGGGCCTCCTCCCCGTTCTCCAGTATCTCAGACACCGCCTGGATCTGGGGAAGGGAGAAGTGACAGGGGCGTCCCCATTTTCTAGCCCCTTGACAGACCGCGCTCTGTCCTGGACGGCTCGCTCCCAGCCCATAATCCGCTCCGAGTCTTGAGAGCAGCCGCAGGCCGCTCCTGCCTACCTGGGCTGGGTACGGCTGCGGCTCCACCTCTTCCCTGGACAGTGGCTCCTCGGGCTCCGGCTCCGCCTCCTCGCAGACCTGTGCACGCCCTGGGTCTGGGGCTGGAGTGGGTCAAAATTTGCTGAGCCAGCAGCCCCTGTCCGCCTCCCATAAGCAAATTCAGAGGGACTGGTTTACAACCCCCATGACCGGCAGATTCAGACCCCAGTGCTTCCGCGGGGTCGTTCACAGAGACCACATGCTTCTCCCGCCCCCAACTTGGGGAGGAGGAAGGTCACCACTGGTGGTTGGGGGCACTTAGAGTTGCCTCTGATCTCCACAACCTCTCCGTGCTCCCAAACACACACCCTCCCACTTACCTTCCTGGGCTTGGGGCCCCTCAAAATCTGAAGGCTTTGGGGGGACATGTGGTGAGGGGAAATCAAGTCCCTGAAAGGAGCAATGGGTAGAGGACACAATGGAGTCAAAGGTGATGATTGGGTCAGAGGTCAGTGGCTCCAGCTGACTACCCCAGCTTCAGATTTAGCACAGCTCTCAGGGCAGGGCGGCAACTAGCTGCAGACCAGTCCAGCCTGTACTTGACACTCCTTCACAGTTCAGCACCCGCCCCGCCAGTCCCCCAGAGTCCCATTGGTAGGGAACAGTAATATGTGAGTCCTGGACCTCACCTAGCTCAGTCCCTACTCCACCAGTGATAGCTGGTTTCAGAGATTCCCTTAGAGGTCCATATTCCCATTTAACAGAAGAGGATGACATAAAAGCCCAGATCAGGGTCTCCTGATTCTCAGGCTGAGGCTCCTTCCCCTGCACATCCCACCTCCACTGCAGGGGCACTGTACATTTATTCATTAGTTCATTCGGTCACTCATTACTCACCTCAGCCTCGCTGAGCCTCTCCTGGGGGTCCTTGCCTATGGGAAGCCTAGGAGTAGGGAGAGGTGGTTTTCAGGGATCTGACCCAGGTAACTGGTAGGCACTCTCCCCTCCCTGCCACACCTCCTTACCTGGGCTCCATCTCCTCTTCAGTCTCTTTCCCAGCAGTCTCAGGCTCCCTATTGCTGCCTAGAGCCTGGTCTCCTGCATGCAGGTGATAAGTTCTGTGAACCCCTTTCATAGGAAGTCTGGCCCTGGGAGATGTGACCCACCTCCTATAGCCCACCAGGGGGTGGTGCCCACCCAAAGGCTCTCTCCCTGTCGACATATACCGGGTACCCCAGGCTGCACAAGGCCTGCCCTGTTCTGGGGATCTCCTCTCACCCCTGAAGCTCTTCTTCCTGCGGATAGAGGCTCGGACAAGGTCAGAACCAAGGTGGGCATGATGGTGCCGTTGCGCACGTGCTTCCTGGAACCAGTCCCCCGTCAGGATTTTCAGCTGCTCAGGGTCTACCAGTGAGGCCCGGAGCTTGCTGGTGGATAGGAGAGGCCATAGCTGTCAACACTCACCCAATCAACATTTCTGCTACTCACTCTATGCCAGGCCCTGTACCTGGGGTCAGGGACACAACAGCACATCAGACTGGATCCCTGCTCTGGAGGAGCTCAGGATGGTGGGGAGACCGAGTCCAGAATAGACAAGTACACTATAGTGAGATAGGTGGCATATGGATGTAAGAAGGACCAGATTTGCCTGTGGGAATCCAGGAGGGCTTTCCAGAGGAGGCAGCATTTAAATTGCTTCTTAAAGGACATATTGGCATTCTCCAGGCAGAGAAAGAGAAGAATTATTATTAAAGTGACTACTGTGCATAATCCCTCCTAATCCTATGAGGTAGGGCTCCTTAGCCCCATTTTACAGTTGAGGAGAATGGTGCTGGGGAGGTCAGGTGAGTTGCCCGAGGTTACATAGCTAGGAGGTGTCTGTCTCTAAGCACTACTTGTAAGTCCCTTGCACCTCTGTCAACATGCTCTTCCAGGAAGAAGGAATGGCCTAGAAGTGAAGGGTGGGTGTGTTCAGGGACTGTGGAGCAATGGGGTGGCTATCGTAGACTCTGTGTGTCAGGAGTTGGAGTTACTGGTGAAAGATGAGATGGGGGAGGTTGGTAGGGGCCAATCAGGGAGCACTTCTGGACCACGCTTAGGAGCTTGCCCCTGACCTGAGGTGCTGAGGAGCCATGAGAGGGTTCAGCAAGGGATATTAAGGACAGATCTGAGGAGCTCCAGCTGTGGCGTGGCAGGTAAGCTGGAAGGGGCAAGCTTAGAGGTGGGAAGGCTGGCAGGGAGCTGATGCAGCCTCCCTGATGAGCTGAGCTGGCCAGGGGTTGAGGGGACCAAAGGGCAAAAACAAGAACTACCCAGGTATCTGACAGGCCGCATGTTGGTGGGGGCCACCCCAGCCCCCCAATGCCTGAGGCTCCCTCCTCACCTGACCCGCCCTTCTTCCAGCTGGCGTAGATAGGCATCTCGCTTCAGGACTTCAGCAATGACCTCCTGCTCCTCCTCTGTCAGAAAGCTGAGGTCCAACAGTCCACTAGCCTCAGGTTCTGGCTTATGTGCCATTAGGAGGGAAGGCGGGGCCTAGAGCCCCTCTTGCGATGGGTGGCCCCTCTGGGGCATCAGCTAGGGCTGTGCCCCTGCTGGGCACACATGGATCCCTGTGGGGCAAACCAGGGGTCAAGTCAAACCCTGCCCAAATACAGGGCACGTCCTAGAGCCGACTGCCCTTTCTGGCCCAAATAAATGTGAGGTGGTGGGCAGAGTACAGCCCCAGGAAGGCTGAGGTCAAGGTGGCATGAGATGCACCCATGGACACACGTATACAATGGCCCATAAATACACTCAGGGACACATTCGAAGGTGTGTACAGAGATACACATGCACACATACTGATACATGTAGATACAACTACCCACAGTGAGAAGTACACCTGGTCACACATGCCCACTGATACTTGTATAAAGACAGGCGCATACACACCCGTTCCTCCATAAAGGGCCCTATGTAGTCATAGGCCCAGACCCAGGCCCAAACCAAGAGAGGAAACTAACAATCTTAAACCTGCACACAGGCCTGTGTACTCAAAGGGAGGCAGGATCTGCCAGGTGGGTTCACCTGTACAAGATTTACATCCTGGGACAAAGACATGTCCCTAGATAAACACCAATTGCACAGACTTTTGCACGTACACATTGCGCCCCCTGGATTGTGACCTCCTTGAAGGTAGAGATAGGTCCTCACCCCCAAAGCCAGTACCTTACACACAACAGATGGTTGGTAAAGTTTGAATAAAGATAGAAATACATCTGCACACACCCAGGAATGCACACAGAGAAATGCATACCCAAACACACAGGCACACACACATATCTGCTCACTCTCATGCCCTGGAACATTTCAAGCTGGGTCCCCTCCCTCCACCCTTCACCTCCACCCTGCCCTGGCCCATTTGGCCTTCCTGTCTGAGGCAACCTCCTCCCCAGCCTACACCTCCGACTTCCTCCCCTGTGAGGTAACCACCACACCCACTCCCACAGGCCTCCAGCCCTGCCCTCTTGCCCCGATCCCCAGGGTCCCTTTCTGGTGCCACATGGGTCCCCCACCTCCTGCCCCCTGACCCAGGACCTGGCTGGTGAAAGCCGAGTGCTGGCAAAACAGCTCCGGCGGCTCAGGTACCACAGTGACTCCGGAAGCAAAACATTTGCCCAGCCCTGAGGGGCGTATGGGCGTATGGGCGTGTGGGCGTGTGGGCGTGTGGGCGTGTGGACGTGGCAAGGGGCCCAAGACTGAGCCATGAGCAAAGCAGAGCTGTGGCCTGAATCTTTCCTCTCCTCACCACCCCTCCCATCTCCCATGCCAGGGAACCAGGCAGGGCTGCGATGGGAAGGCAAGTCTTGACTTGTGTCTGCCGCCTGTACTCTGTGTACTTCCCGTTGAGTCAGTGACCAAGCCAGAGTGAGCCATCTCCCAGGCTGCCCACCCCCTCACCCGGGAGCCTGAGGTTCCTGCTCATCTCTGTCGGGGACCCGTCTCTGTCAGGCGCCCAGTATAGCGCTGTGTGAATGCGTGCTCAACATTAGCACTAGTTCCTGCACACCTGCTGGGTGTTGTGAACGCACGGTCTGAGGCTCTTCTGCGGCTGGTGTGTGAGCCCAGGGTCGGTCCGGCAGGCATGCCTGCATACAGTGGATCTATGAGTCTGTATATTTTGTGGGTATGAATATTGTATCACTGCAAATCACCAACACATGTATGGTGTGTTCAGTGACTTTCTGGGTGACAGTGTTGTGTGCACTGTGTATTTCCTCTTGTGCTATATATGTGACCGGACCATGTGTTGTAGTTGTGTACTCTGGTGCCCCAAGGGCCACCAGGTGTGTGTTTGTGTGTAAGTGTGGAGGTGGGGAGACATTCTGCAAAATTGACCCTGGTCTTGTCCTCAGGTCTGCCTGGGGCTGGGCTGTGGGCATCTGAGCCCAGAGTCCCTAGCAGCAACTGCTTTCCTTCAGTCAACTCTCTTTTCCAGAGGCAGAATCAAGTGTCTGGTTCTCCCTGTTCTGTTTCAATACTGTGGGACAGACAGACCCATTGGTCAATATAAGGGCCTATCCATCTGTCTGGCTGTTCCAGTCCCAGATACATACCTGCCTCCCTGACCCCAAGGTCCCAGAGGGTGTTCAGGACACCAGGTGGCAGTGCCTGCCCCTCAGGACACTGGCAGGGGACCCCTGGCCCGAGGTGTTACCTGTAGGGGTCCAGTATGGAGGGTACACCTTCGTGGGGTGGCCGAGTTTCAGGGACCAGGAGAAGAGAAGTGAGGAACTCAGGCTGACTCAGCCGGCAGCCTAGCAGAGTAGCTGCCCCACCAGGGGGAGGAAACACCTTCTTGGCAGGGCCGGATGCAAAACCGGGCCTGGATTTCAGCTCCCCAGGGGTGCACCTCAGCCTCTGCTTTTAGAAAACCTAGAGCTGATTTGCTGGGTGAGAGATGCCTGGGTCTTGGCCCCACTTCCACTGTGGACCTACTCCGTAAACTGCTGTCACTCCTTAGGGCCTTGGTTGTCCCATCTGTAGAATGGATAGCAGCCCCACCCTGCCCACTGAGTTGCTGATAGAAACTTGCTTTGAAAGCAAAGTTAGAAACTTTTCTCAGCACCAGGGGAATGGAAAGATTGCAGATTGCAGTCAGACAACCCCAAGTAGTTCCTACTCTCCCACTGTGTGATCTTGAGCAGGTCTCTTAACCATTCTGAGCTGCAATTTCCTCCTCTGCAAACTGTGGGCAGCAGAGTGCAAAGAGCCCATTAAAAGGGAAATGAAAGTGCAGGGCACGAATTGGCATAGAGTGAGTTCCAGGTGTCTCCTCTCCAACATAGTCCCTTTTGATGACCACTGCCCCTTCACGTCCACATACGCTTCTTGGGAAGTGCAGGTCACAGCAGAGCTGCTTTCTCTGCAGCCCTGGGACCCATCCATTTGAGGAAGCCTGGACTCTTCAAGGGCCAAAGTGAGGCTCCCACATCCTTCTGTCTCTAGGGAGCCCCTTTGAGCACCCCATTCTTCTCCCAGACTCTGCCTCACCCTGAGAATGGGTTTGGGCCCTAGATTATACTTGCTTCAGGACCGTGAACCGAGACCACACAGAAGCTTCTGATTCCCCTGAGTCTGCTTCATTCCACTCTGCCCGTCTTGGTAGTCACCCTTCCTGTCATGGATTAAAGGGTACCTCCCAGATCCCCAAGAGGAGATGGGGCAAGGAGTGGACTCTAAACTAAACACCCACCTTTGCTCCCTCATCGGAACTTGCTCCTGAATGTTTCCACTACTCTGAGCCTCTATCTTCCAACCCAAAGTCCAGACTTCCCCATTTATTTTTTTGCAAGTCAATCTTATTTTCTGGGTCTCTTTACTCATCCGTTAAACAGGGGTAATAATCTCTCCTCAGATGATTTTCACTACAATTCAATGAGATTTCTGCAGGCCCTCGTAAATATGCATATACTTTTGCACACAATATCCATTGAGTGTCCGCGTAGGAGGGGTTACTGTGATGCCTTTCTCCTCCATCAAGTCTCCCAAAATGGAGGTAGGGTGGCAAGAGCATCCTTACCAGTTCCCATCCTGGTCTAGCTTCTCCCAAGGATGTTTTTCTAGCCCCGAGCCTACCACCTCTCAGCAGCCCTCACCCCTGGAAGGCATCAAACTCTGTTCCTTACTCTTCCAGCTTCTGAATTTCCCTTCCTCTCTCTGATCTCTGATCCTTATAGCTGTGACTCTGACTCTGATACTTCTGTTCAACTCTTGGCAACAAAACCTGAAGACTGGCCTCTCCCCATCTGAAACCTCTTATTTCCAAGTTTCCATTTCTGTAAATGCCCCGCCGCCTCCCCCCACTCATGTCCTAGCCTCCTAGGCCTCCTGCTGCTCCCTGCCTGTCACCAGACTGCCCCCATTTCCCTCCAGGTGAGCACTGTCCCCTAACTCTCCCCCATCTGCCCCTCCCTCCCACACCCAGGTCTCAGTCCCTGCCCATCCTCTACTGGAAGCATGTCCTCCCCTTCTCTGGGCCTCCACACTCAGCTTTATTGCACAGCTGTCAGAGGGCCCTGTCAGCACCCCACTTTGTCATTCTTCAGCTTTGGAAGGTTCCAGCAACCAGAGTAACCCTGTGACCCTTTAACGAATCTGCTCCAAACCAGCCCGGCCTCCCTTAGATACTTTCACTGACATAAGTCCCATCATTTTCTAAGAATCTGTTTTTGCAGGCTGCCCAAGCCCTCCGCTTGACTCTCAGAACCCCACCTGGCTCAGACCATCCTTGTCTCCTCCACTCTCAGAGGCTTACTACAGACTGCTTCCTGTCTCTTCAACACCCCAGGCCATCTGCGCTCCCTACTCCTCCACTGCAGAATGCTTTCCCCACCTCTCACACCCGCTGGGGGTGAGGGGCTGAGTGCCTCTGCAGGGCAGCTGGTTTCTAGGCAACTCCCCACGCTCAAGAGGCCTCAGATCTGGGTTAAAAATCTGGCCCTGCCACATGGCCCTCATGGCCTTGGATCAATGACAATCTCTGGAAGCCTCACTCTTTTCCTTTATAGAACAGGGACAATAACAGCCATCTCATAGGACTGTCGTCAGGGGTACTTTTTCTGGCCTCCAGCATCAATTCTCTCCTCTCCTCCCCAGTCCTTCGGAAAAACAGCCCCTCCCCACTTTTCCCTCCTTGTGCTCCAGTGAGGACATCTCACAGGGTGGTTCCGTGTGAACATGGTTCTACTCTTCCTACCTGTGACTTGAGCAAATCAGTTTAATTCTCTGTGCTTATTTCTTCATTAGTAGAACGAGGATAGTACACCTACCTCATAGGGCTGTGGTGAAGATAAACAATACGATACTTCGTGACAAGGCCCAGAACATAGTAAACATTCAGTAACTGTTGGGTGATTGTCATGGCACCTATTTATCTCCTGTCTCTGCAAAGCTAAATGAAAATTCTGCTAGGCAGAAGCAGGCCTTAAACCTTTTTTGTGTCCATTTTGCTGTGGTTGTCCTCTGTATTGGAACTTTTTTCTCCCAACTCTCAGATGGACCCCAATATGTGAATCAGAGTTTTAAAAATGGGATTGCTCTGAAGTGGGGAGGGGGCACCTCTGCCAAAAGGACCCCCTGGCTTGGAAACCACAGCAGGGTCTGAGATGAGCTGACACCTACCTGACCCAGGGCTGAGGGTCAGCAGCTAGAGCTGTCCTCAAGGCCATCCTCAGGATGAGTACAAAGGGCCCTCAGGATTCACAAGTCAAAGCCTTTGCTAGTTCGACTGAGTGACACAATCTCTGGAAGCCTCACTCTTTTCCTTTATAGAATAGGGACAATAACAGCCATCATTTCCAATTTAGGAAAGACTGCACCAAGAAAGTGGGTTTTAAGCTGAGTCCTGGGAAGAAAGGCCACGATTTTAATAGGAGGAAAGAAAAGGACCAGAAGCGAGAAGGTGCTGGAGAGCAAGGTGTGTGGAGTGAGCATGCCAAAGAGAAGTGGACGTGCCATGCACCAGGACAGTGACCCAATCACGGGATCGGCATGAAGAACTTGGCAATGTGACCAATGGAAATGGTGGGGGCCAGGGGCTGGGACAATTTTTTTTGGCTTATCCCAAACTTTGTACCCTGACTGAGGGGACAGGTCCAGGGCTCTGGTCTACCCAAGCCCCAACTCCCAATCGTACTGCCAAGTTCCTTCCAGTAAGGAGTATGGGAGGGGTTTCAATATTCACTTGCCTCGAGGAAAAAGCTTTGGGATGGCGGATGACTAATGCGCGGGAATTCCTAGAGCCTGGGCTAGGGCAGGATGTACTTGAGGGATGCCAACATCCTTGTAAACTCCAGGCACTGGATAAGGACTCAACTAGATCCCTTGCAGGGGCAGAGGTACCCAAGGACACCCAAGGAGATGCAAGCTGAAGGGATGAAGGGACCACTGAAGGAAGAAAACAAGGACAAGGCACTGACTGGAATTAAAACTATTTATTGTACTGCCCAGGAAGCCCTGCACAAAGGAATCCATGGAGCGGGTGAGGGGGCAGCACAGGCCCTTCCCACAACTTGAAGAGAAGGGGGAACTGTGGTAGGTAGGAGGAAACAGCTCCCCTTCAACTCTCTGATGGCGTTGGCTGCTCTGATGGCTCTGATGGCCCCCATCTTGGACCCAAGGGGTACCATCACCAGCGTGAGGTGCCAAGGTTTGTTTACATTGCTCTGATCTAGAGGGGGTCACTCTGGACAGATCAGCGTCACTCATTTCTCCAGCCTGGCTGGGGAAGCCCGGGCCCAAACTGCAGGGGGAGATAGGCCCAAGTGCTTGAAGGCCCTGGGAGAGTGGGAAGAGGGGGCTGCATGGGTTGGAGGACCCCAGGAGATGGAGCACAAACTACCCCTAGTGTAGCTTCTGGCAAACATTGGAAGGGGGTGCCCATACAGCCCTCTGGGACCATTCCAGAAGTCAGTGGTGAAGGGCCCAGGCCAGCTTAGCCTATGGAGACTTCCTAGTGTACCCAACCACCCCAGGACCAGAGCCCTGGCAAGAGGACAGGCTCTAAACCCAGCTCTGGCTGACGTGTCCAGTGGGTCCAAATGTCCTCCCCTCCCCACCAGGAACTGGGCTGAGGTGGAGGGAGCCCAGCACAGTGGCAGGAAGTGCTCTACAGAGGGAAGCTAAGGCCTTCCCAACAGATGAATAAGGAGGGTGCTTCAAGCACTGAGGTCACAAGCCTGGAAGGGAGGTCAGGTAATTTCTGAGTGACCAGTGAGACACAACACGCAAATATCCCTGCCCCATGCTCAACCTCAGCCCTATTCCATCCTACCCCTGGGTCAAAACCAGCAGGTCCATCTCTGCCTTTTAGGGTGAGGAGAAAGAATCTGCCTTCTCTGGAGCCTGGTAGGTCCAGGGCCATTGGGCAACCATCACCGTAGGTTAAAGACCAGGCTGATGGTTAAGATGATCCCCAGGAGGAGAACGAAGGGCAGCCAGGTCTTCACGAAGGCCCCAACGCTGACAGAGAGGAGAGAGGGGAACTTGGTGGGAAGGGCCTGGTGAGCACTTGTGCCACCCAGAGCCCCGTCGTCCA